TATCAATATATATTTTTTTAGTAAAAATAAGAAAAACCACAAAGATGAATTTCTAAAATATAAATATCAAAAACAATTATCGGCAGGTTTAATATATAAAATTAGAGATATAAAATATAATACTTTTAAACATGTATTAATAATTTAATTAAAATAAAAAATAAATCTATTTACTGTGAGATCCCTCAATGCTGAACAAGGTTAAGTGTGTTGTGGTTAGAATGGCAGGTAGCATGCCTATTATTCAAAAGCTCAAAGATCTGAAGAACCTGAAAGCCTTAACAAAGGACAGCCTTTTTTATTTTATTCATTTTTTTGGTTGTTTGAGTTAATGTCGGCATCAGTCTCTTGAAGGTTATGGAGCTAATTCAAATTTCACTAATGTTAAAATTATTTTTATTTACATTGCAATCGGTCTTCCAACTTATATAAAATATTCATTTTAATTAATATTAAATATCTTTTATATACTAATGTAATAGTCTATACTTGAAGAATTATATTATTATTAACTATATAATATAATTAATAGATGACATATTTATTATTTTAATTAAATTTATCTTATTATTTATTATTTATTTAATATTTAAAAAAATACTAAAACTGAAATTAATCCTATCCGCTTTAAATCAGATTTAAATTTTAGATCAAACCAATTGGAAGATGATTTAAGAAAACTGAAATAATTAAATTTAATAATTTTCTTTTTAAAAATCGATGCAATCCAATTTATGAACACCCTTGATTATCAAGTGATAAATAATAACCTTATAATAAATATTTTTTTTTTTGCCAATGACGCTGATGACTATTAATCTTGGTTTAGTAAGTATGTGGCTATTCTAGAAACATTTAAAAAATGATTCATATATATATTACTACATGTCTAATGTGATTTGCAATGTCACTTTTTAAGACGCTTTAGTATTTTATAGTAGACACTTTTTGACTATATCCTATTAACTGAAATCCTTAGATGCTTTTTGTAAAGTCGTATTGTATTCTAAAGTTTTTTTACTTTTTTTATTGGCATATTTGAGTTAGACATTAAATTTATTTTCTAATATTTAAGGTAACTGTATATTTAAGGTTTTAATTTAATATTATTAATTAAACTCTAAATAATTAATTTATACTATTTAATTAAAATACATGGAGTTATAGTTATAGTTTAGAGAAAGATTTTGATGAGGAATTTTTTTAGATTTTTTAAAACTTTATATTCAATTTAGTTTTTATTTACTAGAAATACTTATGAATTAAATTTTAATATTTCTAAAAAAATTATCAATAAATAAAAATAATATTGTACTATAATATAAATTATGTATTATAAATTTAAAATATAATTTATATATTTATATATAAATATACATTTATTAAATCATATATATTTTATATATTTAAACATAATATATATATATATAATTTATTTTAAATTTTAATTATATATAATAAACATTTAACATATACATTACACATGCTAAAATATTAGTTTATTTTAAAATATGCAATTTTATCTAATTAATTATTGTAAAATCTTGAGAACATTAATTATTGATTATGTTAAATACTAAATAATTAGACCGACAAGTTACTTTTAGTTCAAATAGTATCCAACTTGTATCTTTATATAAGATCTTAGATTTAAGTCTTATAGATAGATAAAATGTGATTTGGAAGGAAGACTTTATTAAAAATAATCAATCATTAATTTTTTCAACAAAAATTAATCATTAATAAAATTAGTAAATACTTTATACAAATAATATAATTATAAAAATAAAAAATAAACAGCTTGTCATTGCATATTTTTAATCTAAAATTACAGGGCAAGTATATGTTTCAATGTTGTTATTGAAAACAATATAATTTATGTAAAAAATTATTGTAAGTAACTAAAGGGTTTAATGATTTATATAAATAAAATATTTAATTATTTAGCATTTATTTTTTTCTTTTTATTCCTTTATTACTTTCACCGCATCATACACATAAAAATGAAGTGCATTTTTCCTTGAAATGAGGGTATATACATTGGTGTAATAAAGGACTTGTTTTAACATGAAGTGTCATTGTCATGGTTGAGTTGGCATCATAACTGATTCTGTGAATGGTTTCAATGCAAAAATAATGGGAGAGGACAATGTACTATAAATTAGCGTTACCTGCTTGCAGTTCAAAGAGCAAATTGATAATTAAACACTGATAAAGAAAAGTACATGTTATATACTATCTTTAAATTAATAATTATATTTTTCTTAACTAATTAGAGTGCATATAATTTAAAAAATTTATAATTAATGTATTTTATCAAATTAAAGTACACGTTATATATTATTGTTCTCTCTAAATTAATATTCATATTTATCCTAACTAATTAGAATGTATTTTCTTTTAAAAGTTTATAATTAATAAATTTTACTAAATTAAAATAACACATTTTAATTAGGAGTATTTTTGTCTAAAAATAATTAATATAAAATAATATAAATTAAATCTTATATAAAAGAATAAATAATTATTTTAAATTAAATATTACGAATATAAATAATGATAGTAATTTATATTTTAAAATAAAATATATTAATTATATTTCTTAAATCCTGTATCAAAATGTTAATAATCAAACAAAATGAAAATTAAGGAGGGAGTGACGACAAATGGTTTCAATGTAAATAAGGGAGGATAAACCATGTGGACTTGGAGAATTAAAAAGTGTCTGCAATGTATCAAGGATTAGCTTTTTAAACACAAAAAGGTGCACAATTAAGAGGAGCTAACTGATAATGGGACACTAATTGGAAAGAAAATCCCATTACAATATGCTGAAAGACTATGCAAAAATAATTTATATTATAATTATAACAACAAATTTGCTTCCAAAATAGGCAGGAAAAAACACCCCTAGCTAAAATAACCTCTCTCTATATTATGTTATATATAAAGAAATATTACATTATTTATTGTATTATTATTTTATCTTTTATTCCTTTATTCCTTCCAACTCATCATATACACTTAAAAATGAAGTGTATGTTTCCTTGGAAGTAGGGTAGATACATGTTGATGTAATGAACCACTTGTATCTTTACATCATGCGTCATTGTCATGGTTCAGTTGGCTTTCCTCCATCGTGGAATATTCATCGGTGAACATCTTTATACTCTTAATATTTAATATTTTTTTTCTCCTTCTTTTTAACAATTTATATTATATATCATACTTTTATTTATTTATTTTATTCTCTATTTCTCATATCGAGTGTTATCTATGATGTGTTTAAAAAATTATAAAAACTAAATTATTTTTATAATTAATTATATGTATAACCAATTATTATTATTATAATTATAATAAATTCTTATTTAAATAAATTTATTAAAAAATGATTTTGAAATATGTAACTTCGTTTAGATTAAAAAAATCAAGTTTCATGTAATAAATTAGTTTTTGAAGAAAAAAGTTGCTAAAAAATAATCATAAACTTTAAAAATTCAAATTGAAAAAAGTTAATTTAGTTATTAGAAAAAACTATTTACAAATTTAAGTTATTGTCCAACCCAAACAATCAACTTACTTCACAATATTTTTTTCATTAACAATGTGTTTGTTTCAAGAAACATTGAAAAAATAACAGAGAGAAGAAATGGCTCAAAAAATTTACACCCGTGATTGCAAATATGAGGAAAAATATGAAAGAGAGTGAGAATATTATTTATTTTTTTTACACTTTTATCCTGAAAACTCTCTCATCCGAATATATAACTATCATGTTGTATTCAAATACGTACTTATTTTATTCGAATGTGCATTGTATTCGAATAGAGATTCGAATGGTTTGTGTTATTTTTCATACCATCCAAGCAAGCCCTCCTGAAGAAGAATTATTTGAGATATCACTCCCCTGCCCACTGTGCCTTTGGTTCGAAGAGAATCTATATTTGGTGGCAATTCCATTTGGCCATTAATTTAAGGTTATTGAAATATGCAACATCGCTCCTATCATCACCATGAACTTCTGCATTTTGAGTATTATTATATATTCGTTTTATTTAAATATAACTTTTCTTTTATTCAAATATAACAACATCCAAAAATTATCTTATTTGAGTAAATATACTGTTTATTTAAATAAATAACATATTTATTCGAATAAAAAAAATTCTAATAATTTATTTTATTCAAATGAATATGTTTACTCGAATAAAACAATTTTACTAGGTTGTATTTTGGTACGTGATATAGGACTAAAATAATAATTTTTATTAATTATAAATTTTTTTATTTCTCTATTCATTTAAATAAAATAATTTTATAATATTATTTTTTTCTTTTATTTTTTACTTATTCTTCTTAAGCTAAACAGCTGTAGTTTCACCCTAATTTTATTTATTTATTTTATTCACTTATTTTTTCTTTTCTATTTATTTTCACTCTATTTCTCATTTATTTTCTTTTTACAATCAAACATAGTATAAAAAAACTTAAAGTAAGGGAAATAATATTTTTCAAGAGGATAAATGTTAATTAATCTTTTCTAGTTTTTATTCTCGCATCAGTGCTGAATTCAATTCAGCCATTCACATCGTTAATATTAATTTTTAATCATTTCAAATTTGAATTAGGAATAAATTACATATCAATGAAATTATTGTTTTTTTTTCTTTAATAAAAATGATTCTCATTTTTGTTAGGATGCAAACTGTAGTATTGATTTTAGTACATTCAATGGCAACCCATATATAAAGGGGATGGAAGTGTACCATTATGTATCATTTCTGACGAACTAGAAACACTTGCAAAATCCAAAAACCATATCGAAGATTGATGTTTATATTTGTAAACGTGCAAGTCAAAATTAAAAGATTGGAAATTAAATTGTAATATGGCCTTTCATGTAAGGTAATTACATCATGTTTCCTAAACAATAAAATTGTTCACGGAAAAAAATTTAAACATAATACAAAACATTTGCTCAAAGAATCAATCATTTTCTATACCAAAGAATCTAATTGCATACCATGGATCCAGCATTAATACTAAACAAAGAACATATGTTTGTGTGTCAATTTAAGAGGAGTATACCTTCCACTGCGACCATGCATTTCCTTTCCAAACAAACAGCGCATGGATCTAAGCATGTTGGTGCTAAGTCATTCGTCTTCCATCCACATTCTCTATCAAGGATGATCACAACAGAAACAAAAAGCAGGGAGGAGCAACATTAGAAATCATTAATTTGAATACCACAGCTTGAGGTAGAGTTAACTTGTTAAATCAAATGTGTTGATAAAATTTATACTAATTTTACTTTGTAATGTCAAGCGTATTATTTGCTGTGGAAAAATATGCACACAAATATTTGTAGTTTATACTTTCATTGACTGAACCACTTGATAATTACACAAAGCTAAGTCGGCGTTCGAACAACATAAGGGTGGAATGTTTGGTAGAGCACTTGAAACATAATTTGACCAAATATATCCCTATTTGGTGTGTAGTATAAGAAGATCAAAGTATGTTTCCCAGTGATGTCATGATGACAGATATCAAAATTAAATTAATGAACCCAAAAAAGAATTGATGTAAGTTAGAAACGTAATAATCATTTAACAGTCCACTAATGAAATATAAATTCCTTCCATCAATAATATTGTAAAATTGGGCTAAACACCGCATTCAAAGCATGATAAGACAAATCCGCCTTGTTACTTCATTTGAAGTCAGAGCAGACAGGACAAATTAATGGAAACAATTGTTCAATCGGGCTTAAGAAAATAAATTCATGCTAATTCTTAGGGACACAAATTTTCAATTGGTTATCCTAGGAACAAAGGAGATAGCAGAAGAATCATGCAAACTGATCGGAAGAACTTGATTGAATTGATAATAAAAGGATAGAACAAAAACACATACCTAGCTATTCTCACAATGCTCATAAGTGGAAGAGATATATATGGAGATGGAAGAACTTGTAAGGGGTCTGCTGGAGGTTCTTTTAAGATGTCCTCAAGCCAGTTTCTATGCCACGAACGAGCAACCATCAAGGGGGTCCATCTTCAAAACAAAGATCATAGGAGTAAACCAAAAAGTTTTAAAGCCATCAAAGACAAATAAGTGATTTAGACAAGATAAATCTCAAGTCACGTTATTCAAATTCAACAAAGCATTACAGTAACTAAACTTATGATAGGTTCAATTGGTTTTTATTACAATTAGACAACAAAGACCTAATGATTCTTGAAAAGAACGCAATCATAAAACACAATTATCCTCAACTCAAATTGTAAGGAAAGAAGAGCATGCACTGGTAAATCCAAATTATACAAATAATACCACATACAATTCTTAATATAATGATGAGGATGGCATTTAAGCAAAAGATGACCTACAATGCAATATTCCAATTACTACTATAAAAGACAAAAGAAAAAGGAAGTGAAGCTAATTTTTAGAGAACAGTTTCATTAAAAGGACACGATAAAACCCAGAAACATGGATACTATGACCAAGAACATCAAGAATAAACTTAAGCTTCTGGTCAAAAGCCAAAGGAGCTATAGATTAAACTAGCTACGAGTTTTTTCATGATTAGAAGACAGGGCAGTAGGGAGTTGTTTGGCTCCTCTAGAAGAGTAATAAATTTTGTATGAACTACATAATGTTTATATCTTTACCATCTGAAGTAGTAAGTATGATAAAATTATCGCAAAGCAAAAGTAACAAGGACATGTGATACATACCCATTTGCATTCTCAGCAGTTAGATTGGCACCCTTGGCAATCAAAAGCTGAACCAACCAATAACACAAAAGAAAAGAAAAGAAACTTCAATATGCTGACAACTCATATACCTGGCAATTACTTAGTAATTGTATGTTCATTTGGAAGTATAATATATTTTCATATCCAAAATAATAGTTTTCTTCTATAAGAAAATAGAAACACACTTGACAGCATTGTGCATTTCCACCAGATGCAGCATAGTGGAGTGGAGTGCTTCCAGAACCTACAAATAAAGTATAGACAGTAGTTACTAGAAGTGAAAACTAATTACATTAGCCCAAACTAACTGGATGCAATGTGTTCAAATTTCATGATATATTTTAAGCTATGTTATAGTGCTTATATTTACTCTAAACAAGAGTGTTCAATTTTAAACACGAAGAAGCAAATCGCAATTTAATTTTCTCCTATATAATAGAGAAAAGGAACATCTTGCCCATATCTATCTAATAGGATTTGATACTGACTCAGCCATACTGATGATGTTTAAAAAAAAAAAAGGATGGTAGAGAGAGAAACCCACTCATACGATTAGTCTAAGCTTAAAAGATATAGAGAAAAATAATCTGGAGTGATATGGATTATGGAAAGCTTTTTATTTTTAATCTATCATCCTTCTTGCATAGAAAACAGCTAAAAAAATAATTTTCAACTCACTTTAAGGCTGTAGGAGAGGTTATCAATTACGGAATTAGAATGTTAATCAATTGCAGTTAGTTTCAGCCATTCCCAATTTTCGTGGTACCAAGCAATTGCAAAAAAAATAAAAATAAAAATTTAAAGCTTTCGCTTGTTTATTTTCAGTCCAACCAAGCAAATTCTGATGTTATTCAAGAAATGGAAATGTTGAAAATATTAGTGAGAAATGACCAGACAGTGTAGCTTTGATAACAAACATGAAGCTCAGACATAAATGCTGACTTTCAAAATCAAATATTTGACCACTTTGTGAATAAGAAAATGCCAAACAATTACCAATTAAGTCTGTGGTAGTTCCATCCTCCCCAGTAACCTCAGACACAGAAGCCCCCAAATCCAAGAGTAACTGTACACTTTCAACATGCCCATTTAGTGCTGCCATATGCAAAGCAGTGATGCCTCCATCAGCTGTTCTGTTAATTACCTCGCAAAGGCCACTTTATATGCAACCATTTAAAGATAAATTAACTCATTGCCACATGGAAAGAACGCAATAGGATCTTAAGAGAGACACATAGTACCTTCGATCAAATTCTAAGATTGACTTATGATCATTTGTCTGTAGTGCATTCCAAAAGTTAGGGACGCTAGGTATGTAGTCCACTAGAAGGAGCCGAATGCACCTGGTATGGCCATTCAAAGCAGCCAAGTGAAGGGCAGTACCTCCATTTAGGTAATCTTCTTTATGAATCTGCAATCCAATTTAACGACCAATGTTTTATAATTCAAGAATTTATCTGATTGTTATTAATTATGCAACAAATTTGGTTGGTAGTAACTGTTCCTTCGACCGTACACCAGAAGGTTTTCTTCTGGAACGATGATGAAGGGTTAGAGGTCCTCGAAGCTGATCAGAAGACTTATGAAGTTGGCATGTATTTTGCTGATCAACAACTGACAGCATTTGCCAAGACCAAACCATTCGACGCCTACAATTCTGGGGTGATGGATGAAGAGGAAGGTGTCAAGAAAACCTTTTGTTGGGACGTAAAGAGAGGATTCGTGATTCGAGCCGAAAAGAATTCGGCTCCACTGGATGCATGAAGGACGAAGATCCTTACTCGAGCTTCTTAGCTCGAATATCGGCCTACGTGGCCGATCAAACGGCCAACTTGGCCGAGAAAGATCAATTTGACAATGAGGTTAGCACGACCATTTTGGCCGAAGAAAAACAAAAAAAGAAAGAAGAGATGGATTTCGAGTCAATAAAGAAAAAAGAAAAACAAAAGAGAAAAGAAAAGGACTTCGAAATCGAAAAGAAGAATGAAGAAAAACAAAAAACAGAAAATCAAAGGGACCAAGGAGTCTCAGATAAAAATGAAAAGCAAAAGGAAAAAACAGACCTAGAGATCGAAAGGACAAAAGAAGGTAAAGAGCAAGAGCTAGAACTCAAACTGGACTGCATTTTCGATGATTCACCTTTGGGGTTCGAGAGGGCCACTAATGAAGAATATAAGTTAGAATCCCAAGATCCGCTCGAAGAGGTTAATTTGGGGACTATAAAAAATAAGCGAATCACTTACATTAGCAAGTTCTTACAAGGGGAGCTGAAAGAGGAGATAATTCGAATGTTGCATGAATACAAAGATTGCTTTGCATGGGATTATGATGAAATGCCAGGACTAGATCGAGAATTGGTGGAGCATAGGCTACCCATGCTCCCAGGAAAGAAACCCGTGAAGCAAGTCCTCGAAGATTTGCTCCTGAAGTAATCGAGAAAATCAAGGGGGAAATTGAGAGATTGCTGAAGGCAAAGTTCATCAGAACTTCGAGATACCCTGACTGGATCTCGAATATAGTGCCGGTTATAAAGAAAAA